AACAGAAATCTAAGAAATCGTGCATGGTACTACGTCGGAAGGTAGTACATCCGGGATAGTCAGATTTGCCGTTTACAACGTTCGGTTTTTTATGATATAACAGATAAATAAATAAATCAAGAATGATGAATTTGGATTTTTCCGGAGTTTTAAATCCGAAATTTCTTACTTTCATTTTGTAGTTTTCAATCTAAGAATAAATTCTTAAGTTATAAATTTAAAAGAATGTAAATAAGGATAATAATGAACAATTCGTTTTGAGTAACCTGATAATCTACTGTAATATTTTATGCTTAAAAAAAAAGAAATTATCCGAATTTATATAATATTAGTGCTATTTCATACTTAGGCCGTTTAAAGTAATAGCGATAGAATAGATTAGCAATGAATTAAATATTGTTAGAGGCAAAATCGTGACCTAGTTGTAGGCATGTGATAACGTTACCACGATCCGAACCAAGCCATGACCCGGACCAAGCTAAGCCGCAAGCCCGAGACCTCTAATCGGCATGTGATAGCAGCATTAATCAAATGCTATCTTGGGTTTGGCTCGAGGCGAAGCTTTATTGAAAAATCATATGATGCCTCTGGAATAAATGGTGGGAATTTAGTTATTGTAACTTGCAGATTACCCCACCCCCGATACTCAATTTGGTAAAAGCCCCAAATGTATTTCTCATGTATAAAAAGTCTTGTTCACCTTGAATAAAGGCAGTTGTCGTGTTAATAATAAAACCCAAGTCCCTCCAATTTGCCCAGTGCTGTTCCGCGCAACGTACCCGAAACAAGCCCTACCTTGCCAAATCGAATCCGCCTCTATAATCATTTTGGGTATTATTGTCGCGAATGAAATGCATATGTAAGAACATATATCAATTAATTTTATATAATTTAGCATGGAAATGACAAGTTACAGTCCATCCAGAAATGAAAATTAGGACAGGCGTCGTAAATTATGATTGTAAACACAGTTTGTAAAAGAAAAAAAAATTCTTTAAACGAAAGTTATTTTCTCTAATTTTACTCTAACCCGAAAAACCTATCTAGAGTGCGGGCTATCTAAAGATTTACTGGTATGTCTATGTCAGTTAAAATCTTATATTTTCAATTTCGACAAATTTTAACGCCTCTTTCGACAGGTTATTAAGGTAGGCGAAATTCATTTGAATTAAGTGACTTTGTTCGTCATTTCCTGAGCAACAATATTCATTGTAATGATTCTCAAAGAAAAGTAATTGGGAGTCATTACTGATATCTCACTTCAAAAGCTTCATTTCACTGGCAGTATATCAATGTATAATATATTTGAAGAGGTAAAAAGACATTATTTTCATCAAGAAGCTATTTACATCCATTTAATTATTTATGAACTTTATAAATATGATTGAAAAAAATTTAAAAACCGTAAATTAAAAACCTTGCACTTGAGATAATTTTAAAAATAATTTAATGCATTTTTAATTATTTTCATTTCTAAGTTGTGCGAAGTACTTAAAAAAAATTAGCATCTATGGGTGCATAGTAAATTATTAATATTAAAAGCAATATTTGATTTAAAAAAATTAAATAAAAAATTAAATTTATTGATCTGATTTGAAAAATGAGATTCTATAAAAAAGAAGAAGAAAAAACATAAGTAGGTCATCATTCTATATTTTTAAGAGATGACTACTTACGTCATAATTGTATTATATTTTTCTTTACAAAAGTCTATATAATGATTCTAGGTAAAATATAAAAGAAAATACTGTAAAATAAAAAATTCAGTACTTTATGGCTTTCTTTTTATCTTTGCACTAATTTTAATTAAAAATGCGCGGTAGAAAACCATACAAATTAAAATCGTTGCAATACGGCATTTCAGTTTCCCCATGCTGTGAATCCAGGTCTATTACACCGCAATCTCGACATTCCAGAAGTTCTATTAGAACCGAAACAAAAACTGTGATGGTGGTATTAAATAAATTTTAATATTTATTAATTTTTATTTTTATTTTTTTATTTTTTATGAATAATACAGGCAGATAAATATTTCTAAAAAAAACATTATTGAAACAACATATTTATTTTTATTTTTATTTTTTTTAAGAAATTACCACTTTAAGGTGTCGTTCATAATTTAACAAAGTGAGGGATCTTAAGACGGCAAAAGCGCCAATAGCAGGAATTTGACCTCCTAATACAGATGGCACAGATGACTCACTTGCTGCCTCTGGAAGCTCAAGCCTTTCTGCCCCTTTTGGTCTTTCTTCTGATGAAAGAAAGAGACTCAAAAACCCACGATATTCGTAACTATAAACCACCAAAATCATTGTTTTTTCAGAATCTGCAAGATATCAAAGAAAATCACGTGAAATTCTAGAGGACATGGATAAAAATCAGTATAAGAAGTTTCATGTATGATAATTAATTAAAGTTATAATGAATTTATAAAAGCTATCAATTTTACTAATCATTTATTATTCTATATAGGACGAGGTAATCCAAATTTTGAATGATTCTCTTCTCCTTGACCATACCAAAACATGGACCGAAATTTCTCTTCATATATGGCAAATCATGGAGATCTAGCAGGGTACGTAAATAAGTTATTGCTGTCTATTATAATATTTATATTATTATAAACATCTTTTTTTTTTTTATGTACCTTAGAAACCTTTTGCGGTATGCTGATAAAGTCGGCGAAAATATTTCACACATGAAATGTACTAGAAAGTGATTGTATAACGACATAAAGTGGATTGGTAATGCCCCAGAATGGGCTAAATCGACAACCTTCATTTATTCAGAAGAGGAGGATATAACCTCCTCCAGTTAACATTTTATTTTGCTAGCAATAATTTTACTAACTTAGTAGAATATTGCTATTCGGCCTAGTCGACTATGTCAACTATTTTCAAAAGATAAACCTAGCCAATTCGGAAATAGTCCTAAACACTTGAAGATATTTCTTTATTAAAAACTGATTAAGTTTCAAATTTTGATTTTTGCTTTGGACGACACATCCTAATTCTAAAATTGTTTATAAAATTTAACATATCGATATATAGTGGTTTACATTCTATAGGGATCGATGCAAAGGATTGGAACGTGATCTTCCATTTGAAATTTCCCCAAATTTATTTAGGAAACATCACCTTTTAATAACGATAATTCAGCAACTATATATTTATACTACACTATTTTGTTTTACATTAGTGAGATTATCTTTACAAGGTGGGCGACGAAGTCACCCGCTGTATGTGCTACATCTTCCAAAATTGAATTTATTAATAGTAATAACATCTTTTAATATGATAAATTAATTTACTTTATTAAAATAGTTTTATTTAATTGTCATTATCTTATAATTAATATATTTTTGCTCGAGGCTAAATTTTAGTGATTCTACTGATATTCAAATTCACCTACAACATAAATATTTAAGTTTTTTTTTTTATGTGAAATTAATTATATATAAACGTACTTTTCAATAAGAAATTTTAACTTTTAATAAATTCTACACTTACTATGTTATAGTAATAATATCGATATGCTCAGAGATCACAGGACTGACACTTTTTTTGAGGCATGACTAAGCTACTCACATTTTAGTGATTATACTTTTGATCTTTGATCATTCCAACAATATAATTTTGTGAATATTATAAAATTCAAGTTTAATAAATTATAAAGTTTAATACTTAAAGTTGCTATTATTTTAAACAAATTATGATATTCATGCCATGCATGAGATTGCAATTCTAGCAATGCGAGTTCAATTTCAAGCAACATCGAGCAGTGTAACATTAATCACCTAAAATGGTAAGCACGACTAACATCTGATAGAATAATTACAAAAAAATAAATACAATTATAATTTCTTATTCATTAATAGAGAACAGCACAAATATATTTTACAATATAAAAGACTTCAAGTCTTATTATTAGATATTTTTAATCCAAATACTTCTGTAAGTAATTTGAAAGTCTGTAGTGTTATCGTAAGTTGTCCAGACACCATCAGCAGTGTTACAAATAGAAGGACAGTAGTATGAAATACGATAAGTTTTATATGACAAATCATAATAAGCTCCATAAAAAGCCCAAGAACCAATAGACCCACAATTGTCGTAGGCACTTACAGCGTAGCCACAGGTGTAAGAAATGCCACCTAAAGCTGCGTAGGTGCCATAAAATGGAAAAACACTACAGGGGAGTATAAGTGATCTTTTATTTAATTGAGGTTCTCTTTCAATGTTAGAACCTCTCTCCTGTAAAGGGCTTGAAGTTGTTACGTAAATGATAGTCGTAAAGACTAGTATTAAGGTTATTAATAATTTGGGTCTCATTTTTTAGTGATTCGATATATTTTATTTTTATGAGGATTTTTTTTTTTTTTTTTGAGTCTTTTTTTAAATGCTCCTTTTTATTGCATTTACATTTTTTTACCTTTATTTAGAAAACTCTTATAATAATATTTTGAATATCCTATATTTCTATACCATAAATTTAACATAGCTTCACAGCCTTACAATGGCTTATAATTGTTAATAATATCTTGTCCAATTTAATATTAATTTATCACTTGAGGTATCCGATTACATTATTCAGAATAATCATATTAGACTATCTTTATAATGGAATGCTTAGCATTAAACAATATTCTTTGTCATGGCTTTAAATAATAATAAATATAATAATATTAGAAATAATTGAGGCTAAAGCATATTACGCAAAAGAAATATACTGTCAATTGGGCTTATATATTTTTCCTATTATTATTATTTGTTTATTATACTGATAAGTTAAAATCTTTGATGGCTAATAGTAACAACTAATATTAGACATAAGATATTGTTAACAATTTAAGCCATTGTAAGGCTGTGAAGCTACATGAAATTTTGCTATAATATGTTCAGGATGTTCGAGATATTATTAGTAGAGATTTCTTAATAATTGTAAATGCTATATATAAGAGCATAGTAGTTGCTTTGAAAAAAAAAAAAAAAAAAAAAAAATCCTCTCAAAAATAAAATATATCGAATCTCTAAAAAAATGAGACCCAAATTCTTATTAACTTTAATGCTAGTCTTTACGACTATTATTTACGTCGTAACAGCTGTAGGCCCTTCAGAGGAGCGAGACTTGAATATTGAAAGAGATCCTCAATTAAATAAAAGAACATCTTACCTCACCTTGGGTATTTTTCCATTTTATGGCACCTACATATCTTATAATGGCATTTCCTACCCCTGTGGCTACGCTGCAACTCTCTACGACAATTGTGGTGCTATGGGTTCTTGGGTTTTCTATGGAGCTTATTATAATTTGGCATATGCAACTTATTATACTTCATACTACTGTCCTTCTATTTGTAACACTGCTAATGGTGCATGGGCCACTTATAATAACTACACAACCATCGATATTACTTCCAACACAATTTCAATTAAAAATATCTATTAATAGTCTTTCATATTGTAAAGTTATTCTATCAGATAAAATTATTTTGTGCAACACTTCCAAGTTTTCTATTAATGAATAAGAAACTAAAAATGTATTCATTTTTTTGTAAAATTATTCTATCAGATAAAATTTATTTATTCAAAACTTCTTGTATTCATTTTTTTTTTTTTATAAATAAACTATAAGTTTAATAAACAGTGTCATTATAATTAATGATTATACAAATAATAACAAGAGCGAATTTAATTCATATTTATTCGTCGATTTTATAATTGCTATATGAAACTAAATGTCTTTCGAAAGACGAAACCTCCAATGAAATATAAAATCCCACGAAATATAAACTCTATACGAACTAGGTATTGCTCCAAAAATCAGTTTATTTTAATCTCAAAAATATAATTCCTGAAGTAATTTTTTCATAGTAAAAAATCGGCGGCATTTACTAATACTTTTTATATAGAGATGGAATCTGAAAAGTTTTTGCAATAGTAAAAATTGTATAGTAAAAAAAAAAAAATTAAATTAAATTAAAAATAATAATATCTCTACCGTTTTTGATGATTTTAGCATCATTAGAACGAGAATTATCGTTTCTACCTCTTAGAAGCTCAAAAAATATTTACTTAGTAAAAAAAATTGTTTCATACTGGATTCCTGCATTATAGAAAACTATAT